GGATCAGTGGATGTGGTGTTTGTTTTTCGGGTTTTCCGAGCTAATCTGGGGGCAATTGGTATTTACGGTTCCAAAGTCAGTGATTCCACGTCAGATAAGATGCTGCTCTGATGGAATATCCAGTAACAAAGAAAGCTGCTGGAGGAAACTTGCCCGCATCCGGGGTATCTCTAAAGTTCGTAAACAGGTCAGTCTGCTTTTTAACCGATCTGATGCTTTGGCGAAGTAATGCCTTTTTTCCTTTGTTTCTCAGTCAATCAAACTTCTCGTTATTCTTTAGAACCAATCGATGTACAAGTATGGAAATCAAAATGGTGTGAGATCCTTTGAGAACACAGTTACTCCCGAGGGCTCAGCAGAATTCAGAATGGGAGAGTTGCCTTAATTAGCTGGAGTCAATTTACATTAATTATATGGGACTGCTATAACCGAAGCCAAGAGGCTCGTTATTTTGATGAACGAAAAGGTTAAAAATAGTATAATTTTCGGACTGCCAGTGATCAGGTTCCTGAAGTATAACCATACCAAAGAAAATTGTTGAATATTTCCTTTTTCAGATCATGTATAAAATGATGAAGACTTATGCTAATAGTTTAGGGATTGTATCGCTTCGTTAGGTGGAACCTTATTTACCAGTTGTGGTTCACTTTCATCCTCGACATTTTCGCCCCAACCTTCCCCCACTGAAAGAAAAATAGTTTTCGGTAAATGGTATTTCCTTACAGTTAAGTTTGTAGAAAGCTTACGATTGAAGGGAGTTTTCAGGTTAACCACTCTTTCAGTTTTTGTATTTAAGTTGTATGAACCATGATGCCTTCTATGATAAACATCCATTCCAATGAACCAACTTGTAAACAAAAAATTCGCGATAAATCCGACAATGCGGGTACGTCAATTTCTTGCTATTACCCTGTCCTTATTTTAGAATAAATAATTTACTCGCGTGCTTTAATATATCATAAAGATAAAATTGCCCGAACTTAGTTGACAATAGTAGGAAAACAGCTTTGTTCTAGAAGCTGATAAAATAAGCTTATCGTAAGCATTTAATGCTGTGCTAATGTACTGGAATTGCACAGTTTTCTATTTTTATCCAGTTATTGTTTGTAAAACAAATAGAACAGCCTTACGTATCTCACTAGAACTCTACATGACGTTGTTATAATAAATGATAACAAAACAAAGCTAATTGTCTGTAAAAACTAAAGAATTTATTTTACAGTTTTATAATGCTTTCACCAAAAAAACGTGAAGGGAGATTGTTTCACTACCTCCCAACTGCAGCCTCTTCCTTGAGATTTCACTGAGGGACATCCCCTACTAGGGAGAGGCTGTTCCGGACTGGACTTAAAGTTGAAGCTGAACAAACTCTTCCACGGTTTCTTTTTTTTTTTCAATTTTTGACTGGGAGCGGTAAGCGAAAACCCGTTAATAAGGCTGGAAAGAACGCCACAAAATCAGTATAAAGTTGCCAAGTTTAAAAGAGATTTGTCTCTCCCGGTTAAAAGTTACGAAGCTATAGCTTCGCTAAGTCGCGGAATTTTACAGACATTTGTTAGGTGGAGGGCAAGTTCGTGCCCCCCACGCACCTTAAAAAACCGCTGCAAAATTTCGCAACTATGGGTAGCAATGTCTTCGCTCGCTTAGGAAGTATCACCATTACACTTAGTACATTTGCTCACTTTAAGGCGCTCTTTCTAGCTGTGTCGGTGGAGATTTGCTTACTGGTCATTACCAAAACTTGAAAAAACCGTAAAAGGGTCTTAATCGAGTATCATTTTCTAAGTCCCACACCCCATCTCCGCCCACCTTCGTGTTTTTGTGCCAGATTTCTGCTGCAGTTAAGTTTGGTTAATACGCTCAAGTAGTATATTAATAAGGACTGGTTACTTCATTTTTGCGGTGGACGCCACAGCCTTTTGTCTTTATTTCCTAGAAAAATTAACTCGTCGTGGAAATACGTCGCAGCGTTTAGTCTTTATCTCATGAATAAAAGGCGGGACAATTTCCTTAACTAAAGATAAGGGGCGGGGTTTCTTTGTTGTTTATAGTCTAATGGACCAAGACATGATTTTACGCGATGTGGTTATAGGGCGACCAAGACCGTCAGTCTATATTTTAAAAAGCCTTTTTGGACAGCTAAAAATGTGGATGGATTTCTATACGTATCAGTCACTTTGACCGGCTGACATTTACGTTGCTTAGCAGTCCGTTATCACTCCTGGTTGGTCTCGTAGAGAGTGATTTTTTTGGTATTTAGTAATGAAATGTTTTTGCTTGAATTTTATACCTCAGTTTCTCGAACGTTTTAAGTGTAAATGCTAAGCATTAGTTTTCCAGGAACAAGTTTGTCTGGTGATCACTACTGTTTGCCATTCTTAACCGACCACATTTGTAACCGAAAGTAAATCTACAGGCTTTCATATGCCGGGTTAACGTTTAGCGACTACTGAAAACATGATTATTGTTGGTCAGATTTCGTTGGTGGAAGCATCTATGTTGTTAGTCATAACATTTTCCTTCAAGTCTTGGTGCAATAGTTTGGACCAATTTCATTGGTTAAACCGATATGGTTTTGTCTCAGCCGATAATCTCTTATACATACAAAAATGTATTTCTTTAAACCTTTGGCGCTCGTATAAAAAAGTCTTCCATTCAATGCGTTAGTCAATTCAAGCAATAACCATTCCAATTCCTATCCGCGCGTCTTCTCACACCCTTGTGTATGTGACGTAACAGTGTCCTAACTAGCTAATTCCTAGTGAAAAGAGATTGGTTAAAAAATAGCAGCTAACTCTACTATATTCAATTTCAACATCACATTAGCCCAGGTTCGAAGAATTCCCCCTCTTGGTTCGGTGAGCTCTATCTGAAATGACGTCAGAGCCTTTGTTTTCAACAGACCCTTTTACCGATAACGCGACCATGTTGAAGACTATTCAGAGGGCACATGTTTATATTTATTTCCATGAAACGCGTTTACTTGTTGGCGAATTCAAAGAAAGTTTGTTCCACGTGGATTCCAATAAGATTTTAAAGGCGATTTGGTGCCTTGTTTGAGTGTCGGTAAAAAGGTCTGTTTTAGGGCCTGTTTACATGAAGGTGGGGGACCCCAGATTGGTGAGGTAACATGTGGCGGGTCACCCCACCTTTCATGTAAACGTGATCAAACTAAAATGAGAGATTTTATGGACAGGCGGGTTACCTCACCTGACTGGGGTCCCCCAACTCCATGTAAACAGGCTCTTAGAGCAAGGGAGAGGAAGAGGGATGGAGACCGCTCGAATTAATCCACGCATGATGTAAAAAAAAAATGATGGGACTGAAACTTTCTCTTTTTACGGAAACTAGAAGCTTTGGAGGGTTACTTTAAAGGACTAAATGAAAAAAGCAGTCTTCCGGGGTACTTGTTCTCGAGAAAGTATTAGCTCTTTATCGCCTGTGTGGTCGGGCGATACACTGGCAAGTTTGCCTCGTTTGGTGGATCAGCCTCGGCAGATATCTGAGTGGTGCTGATGTGATCATCATCGTTTAGTAGTGACATCTGCATTCGTGGACGACTAGCACTCGGTAAAGTCAGTCTACGACGTCGATACATGAACACAATGGCAAAAACTATAACAAAGACCAAGAGGATTCCAGCAGCACAGGGAAGGAGGATTAGGTAGAGTTTCGCCTCTAGGGATAAACGGAAACGATCTAAGTCAGTTCCACGGGCAACAAGAACAAGAACAACAAAAGCGTTTTTAAAACACAACTGCCTGTCATTAAAAAAATATAAAGGTTCCGTTCCGTAGCTTGCTTTCTGTAAAATGCTAGCTACGCCATACTTTGACTGTTCCTATTTATGATATTTGACGGTGTATGATTTCTCATACACCGTCAATAAACTAATGACCAGGAGTTCAATTAAATATTTGCAAAGTGTTTGGTCAGGTAAGCCGCAAGGGGCGTTACCTCATGGATAAACGAAGGTTTAGGAGTAAGGATTAGCGCAGTCGGTAAAAGCGAGGCAGTTCTGTGCGGGAGGTTCCTTAGTTCGATTTCCAAGTGTGACCTCAAATCCCTGCTTCGACTTCTTTCCATTTCGTGTATCTTAAAGAAGCACTGATAGAGAGAAGAGCTAAAATGAGCGCACCCTCGACCTCAGGCTTGTCAGTTTAAATAGTGTTACGAGTTACCGACGTCAATTAAAGACCTCTATGGCCTCTCTACAAGGACCTTTCGTTCTAAAATCTGTGTAGACTCTTTCCGAGAAATGAAAAGACCAGACATCAGTTAGAGCGTAATTCTCAAAGTCTGCATGTTACCTTATTATTTTTGTGCCCCTGCACTGGTATCATAAGTGTTTGCTCAACACGGTGATTGGTTTTTAGCCCATTATGGACCCTAGGTATGACAAGTCACTAGAATATACACTTTATTTTGAAATGACAAAATACAAGATATTGAGAGGCATGTTACAGGCACAGGCATGTTTACTACTGGAGTTCACGTGAACCTGAACCAGGAGATCGTCACGACCCCCTGAGAGACTAAACTTGTAATGTAACGAACCTACCAGGGTCATTGACGGACTGACCTGGGCGTAGCTCAGGGGGAGGGGGGGGGGGTCCTGGGGTGCTTGTGACCCCCCCTTGGTAGGCCTTCTTTTGAGCAAACAACCTACAATATTTAGGTGGCGAAAACGCCATGACAATATCTTGGCCATAAAAGCCATTGTTGAAAAGCCCACTTTTTTAAAATTTGTTTTTTTTAAAAGTATTTTCGTCAACGGCTCTTGTCTTTAGTTAATATGGGCGTGGAAGTCGACATGACAATCTGGTGAGTAGCCTCTGTGACCCCCCTTTTGAAAAATCCTGGCTACGCCCCTGACTGATACACTTCTCCGGGACCCTAACGTCCTAATGAGGAAAAGAAATCGAAGAATTAAAAAAAATTTAATTACCTTTGGAAAGAGTGGCCTTGAATCCATTGCTGTCATAATTTGATTCTCCAACAGCAGATCTGAACTCCACTGTCAAGCTGTTTCCAGAGGTGTAGTACACCGGTTGAACGATTCTTTCACCGCAGATTGTATCTAAAACTTTGCTCTCCTCGGACGACCCATCTAGCAACATCACACTATCTTCCCGGCAATCAGAGTAATGGCTAGATATTTTCACCTTTGTGAATTGTATCTTGATGCGAAATCCCGAGGGAGCAACCACCGACCACTTGAAGTACGAATTCCTCGGGTATCTACCTGGATACATTGGACTAGAGATCTCCGCGCCTGAGACCTCGCCCAGATCAACCTCTACAACAAAAAACCGTATTACCGTATTTATTCCATTAACCGCCCTGGGCGCTTATTAAATTTTTGGACCTTGAGAGTGGGCGCTTATTCGAGGCTGGGCGCTTATTAACATTTTCTGCCTTTAGGATGGGCGCTTATTCGAGGTGGGCGCTAATTCGAGGTTGGGCGCTTAATCGAAAAAATACGGTATTATCTAAACTGCTTAGTTCACTAATTCAAGAACGAATGGGGTGAGGATGGGGAGGATTTAACAGTCATAGAAAGTATCGATGCCGGAAGAAATCAAATTACCACAAGAGAGAATTTTACACAAAAGGGGGAAGGATAAAACGGGAAAAAGTGGAATTATCTTCACCATTGAAGGGTTATTGTTATTCTAAAACACAGCTCACAGCAAGCTTTTGTTTCCCCAATCTTCCACTGCGTTAAAGTTAAGATAGCTACAACACACAGGAAATAATGGGGGTTGACCTGCCCCAATAAGCTTCTGCCAGCACTTCAGTGCGGACCGGACCTGGGGAACGAATACTAGCAATTCAGTGTAACATAATTTTAACCATTCATATTTTAAATGTACTTACTCTTTTCAAATGGTAGCGTTGTATATTTCGCTGTGAACCAACTCTTATGATCGCTTTCTGACAAACTGAAGTTCACTAAGAGTGAACTTTTGTTAGTTGCAACTGCCTGCGGCATTTTACTTTGGCAGTAGGTTTTCCAGGGTTGGTCGTGAAAACTGTCTTTTAGCTCTATGCGGGTTCTTTGGCTTCCGCATATCAGGTTAGAGCCGGTACCGTCAATGTTATATGATTCGAAATAGAGAATAATCCTGAGATCCTTAGGAACAGTTATCAGCCAAGTACAGAAACCAGATTTACCCTGATAAGGGCTGGATAACTGACCGGAAAGCTCTGTAAGAAGCTTATGGCGCTCTCTACAAACTAGGAGCAAAAAAAATGGATAATGTGAGTGTTATAACCTGAACTAGTCACCTACGCCAGCGCGAAAGGTTGTGAGACCAAGCATACTTTGTAAAAGAGGTGAATCTGATATCCACACCCTATTTAAAACGACACTGTCTAAAATTCTTAAATGCGACTTATAGAGTTCTAAGAATTCTAGTCTGTACGAGGACAGGCAGAAAAATAAAGGAAATTTTACCTGGACAAGGAGAGTCAACGAATATACTACTAGTCTCTCTGTCAAAAATTCTAAGTGGTTAAAGTAATAGCATGATCGGTGACAGAACGGTCTTTTTAAAAGTTTTTTTGTGAAAAGTCATTGGGACAGAGAGGAAGAGTGCATCTCGCTCAGATATGCTGCTCGATTTGTTGACGGACCTTTCGGTATTATTAAATTAATATTGACACCACAAATAAATTACCAAACCATTCCATTCCTGCTGGCGGGGGCAAAGTCTCATCTGGGGCGAAGGGAGGAATACGACATCCCCACCTGTCATTTACCTTACTCCGGACCGTGTCAAGGTGGTATGCGTTGCAGGCGCAGTTTTTAAAATTAAATATGGGGATAGAGACAAACGATACGCGCATGAGCGGTGGATATGTCCATCTCTCACACGTCATGGCCCATTCCGTACCTTTGTAATTTGCACTATACATTTTTCATGCGCCAAGTAGGCAGGCTACACTCGGCTTTAATACTTCGCTCAGAATCCTTCACCTGCAGAACGCTTACGTAATGAATAACCGAAGCCAGAAAAATATTTCATCTCGTTGACCCTGAAGCAACAAACGCAGGGCAAGAATCACACGAGCATGCTCACGTTACTTTCATCAACGCCGTCTGTTTAAGAGACTGTGCTACATTTAATATCTTTATATAAAAGTGTCCGAATTTAGTAACTTAGACAAAAAAAAAACAGCGCTGTACGTAGTATTTGTGACAATCTGAGATATTTGTATCGTTTTTCACAAATAATTTGCAAGAGTGAGAGAGAAACAACCTACCTCCTAAGGACACTTCAGAAGTAGTTGACAAAAACAGAACTAAAGTACAAAGAAAAAAACCCGTTAATAATAGCGGAAACTCTGTACAGGTTCCTATAAAGGCGACACTAGACTGATTTGTCACGCACCGGTTGTTAATTATTACACCCAAATGCCGCTTAAATGCAAATTCAAGGAGACATGAAAATGACAGCACGACGGAATTGTGATTTAACTCTTTCACTTCATTTATCGAATCTGAAGTAAACCGACAAATTATGTTCAAGTTATGTAAAAAACTACTGCGTAGTCAATCGAAAAGACACTGTGATCGCGATCGTTTATTATGAATAAAGTACAGATGTCAATTTCAATTCCATTTCGGTCACGCTACCGTCCAGATCGCTTCCATGCAGAGTGAAAATGAAATTGAACTTCTTAACAAACTGTTTGAACCGAACAAAAAGAAAATATGGCAGTAAAACAGTGGAACATTTAAGCATTAGTTTTTTTCACATATTCATAACTTCTCAGTAGTTTTTTGATCGGCAAGACTGCCAGCTTATATTTTAAACGCGAAAGTCTGAATCTCTAAGTCAAATCTTTTCACAGAGATGATATGCCAGTTATGCGATCAAATTCTTACTTTTTAGTAGGTTTGTTACCAACATTTAAATGTAATAGATTACTTAAACGAATCTTGAAGCGATAGTTCTCAATATTTAAAAAATGTCTTTGTGGAAGTTTGGACAATGAAATCGCAACCGAACGATCGATAGATCGTTCGGTCGAATAGTTGATGTTGTGACATTTCAGACTTACCCGCCCATATAACCAGAAACATTGCATTGAATGTTTTATCTTAGTACTCTACTCTTCTTTTGCACGTGTTGTGCACAAAACAGGAATACTCTCCGCGTCGTCCAAGAGTTTTAGACTACCATAACCTCCAGCTGAATGCGATCGAAGAGGAACACAGACATGACTACTCAGGCGAAGTCACTTTGCAACGGTTGAGGGGCCCTGGGACCAGCTTTATTGACAATGCGCTGTCACAGTGATCTGGGTCAGTCCCCCGCACCCAAATCATTGGTTTTAAAGAACCTGTTAAGCTAAAATTTGCTGAAGTTAGGCCCATTCTACACAAAAATTAGAACATTCAGAATACTCTTTGGAAACATAGGTGTAAAATTCCGAAAATAAGCCCCTCCAAATATACCCCCCCCCCCCAAACTGGTAACGCAAAATCGCCCCCTCCGAATATAAGCCCCGGGAGGCTTCTACTTGGAAATTGCCCTCAAATACAAAGTAAAAAAAGGAATCACGGATCACTATTATATAATTTTTATATTTGCCAAATAACTATTACGTGTGCTAAAGACTGCAGTCAGAAAGAGTCACAGTTTATTTCTGTTTCCGTAATTCAATTTTCACTCTTGGCTTAGATTTCCTCGGTCCATATTACCGTGATCAATTACCGTGACATATATTTCCTTCCACCTCTATGCTAGCCCAATCGATTTTGAGACGCAAATTTCCTTCCAAGTATAAGCCTAGCCAATTTTGAAACACAAATTTCCCTCCGTATACAAGCCCCTCCAAAAATAAGCCCCTCAAAAGTCTTTCAAAAATATAAGCCCCGGGGCTTTCGGAGTTTTGCGGTAGCTGTATACGATATCGATATGTGGGTGAATAATTCTCTCTCTTGCCCGATAATGATTTTACAGACCTGTGGTTGGAAGATAAACATAGTATTTCAGTGGCGACGACTTCAGCAAATTCATATTTTAGCGTTAGTGTTCATGCCGGCAGTTTAACGATAGAGATAGTCCACAACAAACATATCATATCTCTGCTCAAACTGAATGAACAGTGCAGTGTTTAAGACAACGAATTGCAAAAAGGTCCGCCAGGACCGCCAGAGGAAGTTTAATAATATTGTACTACTATAACAAATCATAGATGCTATGCTTCTTAAGTCGCGGCAAAGGTCACCAGGCTGTACCTACCTTAAGAAAACTGAGTCCTATGAACTGTTCGAGTTCTAAGTTCCTAGATCAATAGTTATTTCTTAAGCCATTTCCTTCTGTACCTAACCATTCAGTCAGACTAGAAAACAGCCGACGTTTCTCAGGCATAACTTCAGATCCCTTTTTTGGTTTTCAGTGTCTGCTGACGAGAGTAAGGGTAATCCGTAGAGCTGTAATATAACTTGTTAAATGAAGGGTTTAATGAACATTTAATGTCTTGTTACATTAATAAGTATACACATCGACTAAGGTTACAAAAATATGCCCTAGCCTACAGTTACAACTTCAGTCTACGACGTTATTTTTGGATTACTGAAAGCCCCTCGTCCCCAAAACACAATCAACGCCCGAGTTAGCCTAAAATGGACGCTGCTACGTAGACAAAAACTCTCAAAAATCCTTAATGAAATTCTTGCTGAAAAGGTACTGATTAAATGATTATGTTCTACTGAGTCAGACGGAATCTGATTAACTGATTATGAGGTTCATCTTCCTGACAGTAGTTACACTAGTTACTTAGTTACCCAGTTAGCTATTATTTTGTTACCCCTTAGTAAAGAAGACCCAAAAATTATTGTTAGCATTAAGTATTTCAAAACTTATCTCATCTTACATAAAATTACACAAAAGTGCAGAAATAATTCGAAACTACAAGTGTTCGTATGGGGCCGAGTCAAAAGACAATTTGCTACTGTTCTACTTTATTACAACTATAAAATTATTCAAGTAAGCCAACGTTAAATCAGTCCTCTCTTGTCAGACTAACTGTAGAACCAGTTCAATGGCTGGGCGGTTAAAGTCATAAGATTGTCCATTGCGAGGAAAATTTGGTTATCTATCCATCCGAAAAATTTTGGTTGTGACGTCAGCGTACGCCCACGCGAACGTACAGACGCCGGGGGAGGGGGAAGAGAGTTCGAAATCAGCCCGACTGGGAGGTGGATAGAGCTTGTTTTGGCCTCTGGACTATGGCAGCCCACAATTTTCTTGGCGGGAAATAGCATGACCCTCGTCGCTTTGAAAAAGAGCCTTCTTCTTTATATAGCTTTTTCAAAACAAAGCTATTTACAGTGCTAAATTTGAAGCCTAATTGTAAAATTATTGCAAGTTATGTCAACAAACGAGAACAGAGTAAATATAACATGCATAGCGGCGGTGAGAAATGAGAAATGCAAGCGGCCACCAAACAAGGTGAAAATGAGTTGCAGTGAAAAGAAAAAACAGTAAATAGAAACACATACAACATTTCCTCCATAAAACGCTTAACTAGGGCGTTTCTTGAAAATCCACGTCGTAGGTTCGTGCGAAACATCGTCAAAGAAATGTAGAAAAAAGTGTGCTGCACGTGCAAAGTTGTTTTTTGCTAATTAGACCTATTTTTGTTTTTTCTCTTTCGTGCGTCCTCACCGATTCATTAGCACTACACGATTTTATATTTTGAGTAAACTATAGATGGTTTTCAAAGTGACGTCATCAAATCGTAAAGTGAAAATAGCGAGGTTTTACGAATTCTTTTTTACACTAGGTTGAAGATAAACAAAAAGTTAATCTTTGTACAAGTTTTTAGTCCCATAGCATGTTTCATTTCGAAAATACAGCAATTTGAACTTCCGAGTTTTCAGAGTGTGTGACACCAAAATAGGAATGCTGTCTCGTTGAAAAAAAGTCTCTCCTCTTGATTTTCAGTAGTATAACCATTTCAAGTATTATAAGATATGTTTATGCGCACGTAGGCTAATTCTCGAGTGAAAAGAAGGAGCTTTTATAGAACAAGTGAACTCCAGATGTTTTTGTTGATTTTCAGCGGCCATATTGGTGCACCAAAACTGTGCACCAATATGGCGTCTCCATACAAAGCTCTACAAAGATGCGTGAAACGTTTCGACAAATAACTCAGAAACTGTGGGCCAAAAAGACCTGAGACTCGGACAAATTGTTTAAAAATTAGTCTTTTATAACATAT